AAAAAATAGCAACCCTGTATCTGAGACAATACGATCAGCCATATGTACTTTATACATCTTGGAGCAGGAAAATGTTTTTACTTGTGTCTACTTTTGAATGTCATAAATGATACATATTCATTTGATCACTTACGTACTGTGAATAGATTTATGCATACTATATTCAAAAATGCTTGTCAAGCTTTAGGTCTATTACAAGACGATTATGAATGAGATCTTTGCTTAAAAAAAGCTGCCAAAATAAGAACAAGACACCAGCTTTAGCACTTATTCACAATTATATTAATCAACTATCAACCTAATGAATCTGAACGTTTGTGGACCAAATATATTGCAGCTTTCACTGATGATATCTTGCATCATGCATGTTAGTAATCACAGAATCCTGAATTACAACTAAGTGAACAAAAAATTCAAAGTGACGTATTAAATAGATTAAAAAGTATTCTTTTACAACAAAATAAAATATTAAAAGACTTTCCAAACATGTCCTATCCAGATTCTGTTCGGGAATTTGAAAATTTGGTAATAAATAAATAATTAAATTATGATATAGATGTCTTTACTCAGTCAGTTGAACTAAACACAAGCAGGTTAAATAAGGATCAACAGGCTATCTTTAATAAAATCATTCAAGCTGTTGAAAATAACAATCCCACATGTTTTTTTATAGACAAACCTGCAGAAACTGTCAAAATGTTTTTTACAGAAGCCTTTTAGCTAAAGTGCACTCAAATAGAAGTATTGCGCTAGCTGTTGCTTCATCTGGAATTGCTGTACTATTACTTGAGGGAGGTCATACAGTGCATTCCCAGTTTAAAATCTCTATTGATCCAAATAAAGATTCAACTTGCAACATATCTATATGCTCTGATCTTGCTGAGCTTCTAAAACAAACTATGCTCATTATTTGAGATGAAGCTCCAATAATGCATCACCATGTATTCGAGGCTATCAATCATTCGTTAAGAGATATTATAAGCTCCATTGATTTGAGCTTTGGAAATATACTATTTGGCAAGAAAGTGTTTGTTTTTGGTGAAGATTTTTAGCAAATTCTTTCAGTTGTTTCAAAAGATGAATGTGAAGATATTGTTAATGCCAGTTTTTGCTATTTGCTTTTATAGAAGTATGTTAAAATATGAAAGTTAATAATCAACATGCGTTTATGTACTGCATCAAATAATTCAGATGCTTTAAACGATATTGCTTAAAGATAGTTTGCAAACTGGCTTCTACTGATTGGTGAAGGTCGAATAGCTGAGGTCACACCACATAGTAATTATATTAACCTGTCTCTAAGCATTGTCTTGCATGATAAATTGTCTCAGAAATTAATTAACTTCATTTACCTTGCCTTGCATATACGAGCACATGACCCAACATATATTGTCGAAAGAAGCATTCTTGTATCATTGAACTCTGATGTTGATATGCTTAATACTGAAATTCTTTCACAATTTCCTGAAGAAGCCAAAACTTACTATAGTGCTAACTCATTAGATCAAAGCTCTCCTATGTATAATTCAGCATATGAAGATATATACTCAACAGAATTCCTTAATTTATTAGCAATTAGTAGTTTGTCACCTCATGTCTTAATCTTAAAAGTTGGGTCCCTTATCATATTACTTCGAAACATTGATGCTAATCAGGATCTTTGTAATGGCATACAGTTTATTTGCAAATCACTACAAAATAATGTTATCAAAACAGAACACGTTAATAGCCTATTTAAAGAGAAAAG